ATATAAATTGACAGTGATGACAAAAAGCAAGAAAAAAAAAGGCAACAGGTATACATAAACAAATTGGAAGGGAAGAAAGAAAGAAAATCAAGCAGTAATAATAAGTAGGTTAAAAGTTGCATGATAAAACTGTTCTGGCTGTTTCCCAGTGAAACTCTCAATGAACAAAAAAAAAACCTTTCTTGAATTTAGTTTCAATTTTCAATTTTTTCTTGCCATCATCTTTTGCCTCTTTCGTTTGGTCTTCGTCTACGACGTTTGCAGGAAATCTTTGACTTCTTCTGATCAATCCATTATTTATTACAAAATTACATTTATTTGCAGAAAATTTTCTAATGATTGTTCATCTGCAAAGAAAAAAAAAAACTGTCTATAAATTGTTGCCTTATTTATTTGTCCTCTACCTACTGGTATATTTGTCAAAATTAATTGTCAAAAAACAAACAAAATAAATAATTAAACAATATAACCGTTGAAAAATATTTTTTTTTCCTTTTTGGTTCAAATAAAATGACGTTATCGCCGCCTTAAACAGTTTTTATTCTACAATTTTTAACCTTCTTTTCTTTGCAACATTTTTTTTCCCCTTTTGCTTATTCAACTTCTTCTGTTTTGTTGTACTGTTATTGCCGAGCAGCAACAAATTTTTATTCAAATCATTTTTATTCCTTTTTACTGATTATAAATCTTTCAAAACTTTTTTTTTTTTTGCTTTTGGAAAAGAAATATCTAACATAGAACCTTTGACTTTATCTTATCGCTATTTCCTCTTTTTTTCTTCCACCAGCTTCTCAAATTGAATTTGGTGTTGTCTCCTCTTTTCCTTTCTTGTCGCTGTCGTTTCGCAATTTTTATTTATACTAAGTGTGTGCCAAAAAAGAAAAAAAGAGGGAACTTTCAATAGAGTTTTTGTTAACTTCTAATGATGGAGAAACTTAATTGCTGGAAAAAGACGAAAAAAAATTCTTATGCAATAAATAGACAGAAAAAAAAATAAGAATAATAATCTCCTATCCATGATCCAAAGTGTATCAGTTAAATTGTTCGGCTACTTTTGTTCTGTGAATAACACCCAAATAAAAAGTGCTCAAAAATAGTAACTGTTCATTGTTTAATTGATAATTTTATTTACAGATTCATCTACTCGTTTACTAGTATTTTTTTTCAATGTAAAATGCTGATTACTTCTAAAGTTGAAAAATTACAGTTTTCAAAAACTCTACTGAAAGAAGATATTCGAGCATTTCGAGGACCAAGTGAATGGACAATAATTAAATGGGATGGTACACCGTTACCGGATTCATTTGACTGGCGCGACTATGGCGGAGTTACCGCAATCAAATCTCAAGGTTTAAACATTATTTCCGCTTAGTTCTTCTGTATCACTTCTCCAAACTATCACTAACAAACCAAGAAAGTGTTCAAATTTATTTTTTTTTCTGACATTGACAAAGACATCATCTGCATTTGTATCAGCAATAAAAAAATGGTAACGTCTTAGATAATAAATGTAACGGATGTTGGGCATTTGCTGCGGCGGCTGTAGTAGAATCGTTGTATAAGATACATCGTCAACAGACGATCAGCATTTCAGAGCAGGAACTGATCGACTGTGATAAAACCAATGGCGGATGCAATAACGGCAGTACACGTCGTGCATTGCTGTAAAGAATTTAATCACTCTATCAGTATTCAAAATTTCTAACACTTTATTTGAAAACTTGTTTAGAACAAAGAACAGTTTTTTCCAAAAAAAAAAAGGTTTATATTACTTTAAGCAACAAAAATTTTTTGCTTGTTTAGACGTGGAAAATATCATGGTTATTCATATTTTTCACAGTATCCAACTGATCCACGACCATATTCAGCCTGTCCGTATAGTGGACAAATTAAAGTTAATCGACTTTATGTTGTAAATCCTGATGCCAATTCAATTGCCTATACAATTATGAGATATGGACCGGTGGCATTACGTAAGCGGCTTTTTTTTTCCAAAATTAATATTAGCTGTCAGTGTTGGCAACACTTTTGGCAGACAAAAATTTGAAACATTTTTTGAACCTTTTTCTCTTTGTTTCTCACTTTGATTCAGTTATTACTGTTGTTTAGATGTTACAATACCAAAGCCATATAAATATTATAAGCGTGGAATATTGACAAGTAGTTATGAGTGCGAATTTCATCCAGCAAATCATGCTGTTGAAGCAGTTGGATTTGGTGAAGAAAATGGTGTCAAGTATTGGATTCTAAAAAATAGTTGGGGTGATTGGTATGTTAATTTGGTCTTTTTTTTTGGTTTTTCTTTTATTTGTGCCTCAGAATTAGACTTTTTGAAATATGAGATTGGTCAGTTAATGTTCCGCAAATGAAGAATTAATTTTTTAGGTGGGGCGAAGGCGGTTACTTTAGGATGATTAGAGGCGGAAATGCTTGTCATCTTGAATCATTTCCAACAACTGCCGGTATTGGCTAACATCCGGTAAATTGGTGAACAAACACATCGGAATCTATCTTTGTGTCTCTCAGTGTGTGTATCTGTGTATCTGTGTGTGTGTGTTTGTATTTTTGAGTTAGTGTATCTGAGTATTTCTGTGTGTGCGTTGTACGTTTGCTGTATTTATATCTGAAGTCTATCAATGAAAAATATTTGCGGGTCATTGTTCGTCATCTTCCAGTGTATTTTTTTTTTTTATACATACACTTCATGAAATGTCTTAAATACACACAAAACAGAAAGAAAATGGTATTTACTTCAGTGATACAATATTTTTATTTTTCATTATTTTCTTCATTACTTTTTTCAATTATTATTTGAAAACAAAAAAAAAGGGCAATGAAAAAATGTACAGAAAGAAATTTTTCAAGAATAAAAAAAGAAAGAGAAAAACAAATTTTGTTCACAATTTTTACTTTGCTTTTAAAGTTGTTTTTTTTTTTTTTTTTTTTTTTAAATACATCAATTGTTCTCTTAGGTCATATTTTTCCAAAAAGGTCTCTTTTCTGTTTAGTTCACTTTACCCCTTGCATTCCTGTCCTTTCTTCTACTTCTTCTTCTTCTTCATTCAGATACTGTTGCTTTTATTGCCTTCATTTTATCTATCAACTTTTTTTTCCTCTCATTAAATTCCCAGCTATTCTGTTGCTCATCTGAAGCAATAGTGGGGAACGGATGCCACTTAATTCAACAGTTATATCAGTCATATCAGACACTGGTCAGCTGATTATACTGCCAATCTATTTTGCAGGACAACTGCAATCTTAGCAAAAGAAAATACGCATTTTTTTAATATTTAAAAGTAGCAAATGTCGTAATATAATAGGTTTAAAAGAAGGTTTAGAAAAAAAAACAGATATTCTTTTTTAAACCTTTTTTCTTTTGCAAAATATACTGATATAGTCAAAGATATATTCCAACATTTATGTATCCTTTTTTTTCAAATTGAGTTCTTAATGCAACAGTAAAGAAAAAATGACATTAGAAACAAAAACTTTTTTGTTGTTGTTGTTGTTAATTTTTAGAAATAAAAAATTGAAAATTACAGACAAGAATTTTGCAGTTATCGCGGTTGGAAAAAAATGAAACCTGAAATAATTGAAAAAAATTTGACTAAAGCAACAATTTTTTCTATTCTTTTTTTGCTCTTTTTTTTTTCAAATTAAATTTCTCTTTTCTAAATCGCCTGACATATTTACATCCAAAAAATACTGCCGATAAACCACAGTAAACATAAAGACATTTTTTTTTTTT